GACTTGGCTCGATGCTATGATATTGGGTTTTTTAAAACCATGAAAAATATTCTGTCATTATGCACTTCAGTTTTCTTCAGTGGTGTTGCTGAGCTGATCATTGTAGTCGAATCCACCAGATTGTTGATTCGGTCACTCCTAATTTTTTCCCCCTCAGTCTCAGTGAGTTAATGCAACACTTTTGTTAAACCCTGTGAATTAAAGCTGATAATCTGAACTCCAGCCACAAATTACATTCTGCTTAAAATCCACTGCGGTGGTGTACACATTGTAAATTACGATATACATATAATAACACATACGTGACAGGTCTGAATCAAAAGTCAGAGGTTATCCTATACAAACATTTCTTGTGTGAAAATTTAGAAAAATCAAAATTAAAGACAGTTGAAAATCATAGTTCTGGTTGGAGGTTAAATTAAACAATATGAACAACAAGTGGAGAATTTTAAACATTTCATTCATGAACCACAATGAATATTTTAACTTAAAATCTTTAATGCCATCATGCTGACCTGTGCTGGGCTCATCTCCTGCAACTCAAGAGTTTCCTCAATGCAAGGCATTTCATCTGAAGTCTGTGGAGGAAAAATGATGATGGTTGTCATAGACCACAATAATCTACACTGAAAAACTTTAAATGTTACAGACTGACTGCAAGCAAATTATTAATAAATATAACTTTGGAAAATCTGGTGGAAAAATAAGGTAAAAAAAAACAAAACGCCAACAAAACAAAAATAACAACAGACAGATGCAGGTACCTGAGAAGCCAGGCCAAGTTTGGGAATTTTAGGAAGAGTTTTCTTAACTCGGAATGACACAACCTGAAAGGAATAAACAAGAGTAATGTTTTATTCATTTAAGTGGAGCTTTGACATCAAAACTGAGAACTCAAATGGTGTAAGAAAACGTCTGGATATGCAGCAATTATTGTTGATGAACCCCGACTACAGCAGCTGACACTGGAAGTAAAAAGCATACATCGCACTGATCATGCTTATTTCTCCTCGTCTGCGCTCTTACTCGTCTTTTCTTTTTGATGGTCTTCTTGCGTCTAAGCCCGCCTCCTGCTGGAGCCTCCATGTCCTCATCTTCCTGCAGCAGACAACAGAAATAACTTATTTTCAAGAGAGATCGGCTAAATTTCCTAAAATATTACTTGCCCAAATTATTAGCTTAAAAAGCATAAAAAGTTGAGATTTTTATGTGATTGATGTCATTTCTACCTGTTCCTCCTCAGTTTTAGGCGTCCTTCTGAACATCCCAGTGATCCCAGAGAACACGACTTTTTTCTCCTGTTAACAAAATAAAACCACGAGGCATTTATTTATTTATTTGCTAAACCTCAGAAACAGTGTTAAAATCAAAAGTCTGACCTTTGGGGTGCTTGAAGCTTCTAAAAGATTGTCATTACTGGCAGACAGCTGACTGTTTGCCAAAGCCGCCTCCTTTAAAAAGACCAATACAGTCTTATATAAACTATTAGCACTTATTTTGTGCACCAAACAGGGACAAAAATGTAAAGATTACACTATAATGTTTAAAACTTTTGATGCAAAGACTCTCATCTAAACTTATATTTAGATTTGCTGGCATCACATTATTAATACAGAGCATTCTTAATGTGTTGTATTTAAAGACTTTACAGCCTTTTCACACATGCAGTGTAGTGACAAACTTATTTTCAGGTATTACCCGTGTGAGTTACAGTCTTTTCGTTGCTAGCTCCCTTGTACAAAGTCTGCATGATTAGGATTTGTCCTGATGTGCCGGTTTATTCAACACTAGTGAATATTATTTCTGTGTGCTGCGTCTTACATGCAGCAGCACAAATAGCCTAAACCAGACAATGCATTTCCACAAGTAGAACTCCACAACACTGAGAAAGGATAACTTCCCGACCTGATTATCCCGACAGTTGTTTCAGTAGTAATCTCACCTTTCCTGCATCTGTGAGGCTGTCACAGCTGGCTGACAGCTGCCTCGAGAGGGGATCCTGGAAAAGAAATGCAGTGAATTCAGGGGAAAAGTCCAAATTATTGTATTAAATGATGAAAACAGTCTTTTGATTGATGGTGCTTTCAAAACGTTGGTCTGGTTGAGTGGGATGACATGACAATAAGATTTTATTAGCTGTGTGACATCTGCTTTTGTTTGTGTGTTTGTTTAAATTTTTCATTATTTGCATCCTTGTTTGAGCTGCTGTGGAATATTTTCAGAAATGAAATAAATATAAATGACATTTTGATTCTTGTTTTGAAGTAAGAAGTAGTGACAAATGCGAAGGAAGAAGCACAGTTTTGGCCTCAAAGAGTAATCTTCTGATAATATACTACATCTAACTCTGAAAAGCATAAAAATACATGAAAAATCCAAATGTATTTGGCACCTGAGTAGCGACAGAGCGTGGAGCTGGTTTGGGAGACTTTTTGAAGAATCCTGCCAATCCTCCTGTTTTTTCCTGAAATATATGAACAGTAAATAAACAAAGACATAAATGAGGATGAAACAGATCATGACTGTGACTATCCAGATGTTCTGGTCCACATCTGTACCGTTGCTGTGTTTGCTTCTGACAGGTTTTCATCGCTGGTTGATAATTTCTGTTCTTCATCTGCGTTTGTTTCCTGAACAAACACAACATAAAGCATAAAAAAGACCAACACAAGTACAACTGAATATCTTAGAGTGTATTATAGTTATTTAAAGGTCAACATTGCACCTCATCTGCTGGTTTTGGAGCTCTCTTGAACATCTCACTGAAATGTTTTTCCCCCTGAAATCAGACAATTAACAATCTTGCTAACAGACAGTACAGACTACATCAGTTTCACAAGGTCTGTCTGAAAAGTAACATGGCTAACAATGACTTCTTCTTTTTTCTTTTTTTTTTTTATTAGGATCAATATCGTTGATTGGAGATAAAACAGTGTGTTGAACTGAGAAATCCAGAAGAGAGAAAACAAAAACGAAGGGTAACTCAAGCACCAAGGCAAAGTTAAAATGTTGATGTGGAAGTGGTTAAACTGTGACGACATGAAATCCCACAAAGGAAACGATCTGACAAACAAATAAAAAAACAAGACAAGAATGAAGCAACTCAGTGTGAGGTCTGCTTTTATACACAGTTTCAAGATTACACGGGATGCCGTGTGTGAAAGAGGAATATTACTGATTTAGCATAAACACTGAACGTAAAAGCTGAACATGTAATCGCTCTGCGCAGGACTGACACTGACCTCATCCAACAGGTTGTCAATGCTGCCGGATCTTTTTAAAATTTTAGCCAGGCCTCCTTTTTTCTGCTAAAACAAACACATTTAAGTTACTTTTTAAAATTCATTAAAACATTCAGTAGCAAAAACTGTCTCTGGGGAAATAAAACAGGAACTTGACAACACGCCGACTTTCGATATCAGTAAGCCTCAATGTCAGTGTGATTTATTCTAGTACTGTACTGAAGTTTAACCCTCACTGAAGTGTACTTGCTTAGTATTTTAATTTCCTCTTATACTTCTACTCCCTTACATTTATTTGACATCTAAAGTTATTGCTTAATTTTCTTAAAAACACACTTAAGTTAGTAAAATAAAAAATAAAAAAGCGCCATTCACACAGTGTGTGCAAAATGTCTTCACCCGAATATTTTACTCCTTGAGTTAAGTTTCACATAAGCGTATACTACAAGCAGATAGGTGGAGAGTTTGAGAAACTGGCTGCTTAGAAGTGGACTAATGTGGATCCACGAGAATGTCAACATGTCAAATCGATTTTTATTTCAATTCAATGTGCAGTTGTGAAGACGAGATGTGATGTGTCCAAAGAATTCTTGCAAAAATTGTAAAACAAACCAAAGAATTATATGTAAATACAGTATTTAGGACTCAGTTATACACATGTAGAGTACTAAATGTATTAAAAAACACAATAAAATAAAAGGGACCATTTTCTGCTTAATTACTACTTCAACTGTAAGTACTTTAGATTCTTTTCTTTGTAAGATTTTACTTGTAATAAAGATTTTGGCACATCCTCAGAGGTTTTAATTATGTAGATTATTATATAAGTATCAATATTTCATGACACATATTTGAAAACAGTAAATGACTCATTGCACTCACGGCATCAGATCTAATGTGTGTGGCCAGGTTTCAGTTCATGTTCACATGACAAAAGCAGCTACTGTTGATTTTTGTTTTGTTTTTTAAAGGAGAAGAAGGGTTTTTTTGTTTTTTAAAGGAGAAGAGTACCTTTGTGACGGTTGTGTCGTTCACATTCTCACAGCTGGCAGATAACTGAGCCTCAGTATTTACCTCCAACTCCTGAATTAAAAGCAAAGAACAATAAAAACCAACGTCTCCTCTGTAGCTTGGTGTTTGATTATAAGACCTGG